TGCATACAACACGTTGTCTGTAAACCTTATACCTTAAATACCTTATACCTTAACGCTCACTGCTCCATTTCAAATAAAACTCCAGCCAACTGCATTAAGAGTTTCTTCTCCCCGTGCCAGCAAGGTTCGGTCTTCCATAGCAGTCATACGCTCACAAAGGGCTCTTAGGAAACATTGCGATTTACGATGCCAGTGGTGGTAAACGGCTAACGTAGGATGACTTTTAGGGACAAGTGCCAAAGGGGATCAGGAAACCTCCCCCGTGGCAAATGGACATAGAAGTAACCAGAAACTTCTTGAACATGCTCTCTAGGACATATTTTGTTTCCTGTAAACTCAGTCTCAACCTTGCTCTCTCGCACACACCCCTCCTCTGTATTTACATTGCAAATGTGACTATCAAGATCATTAAACTTTTTGTTTCAGAAAACAAGAACATTAATCTCAAAATTGTGTCAACAAAATATGCCCATTTGATTACTTCCTAACCCATCCAAAAAAAATCAGGATATTATTATTACTATTACTCATGCCTGCAGTTTATAAATATGAAGGTTAATAAAGCCATTTCATTCCCTGGGAACAAGTCTAGATTGATCTTTCTAGTTTATCACAATCTCCCAGCTGTGGGAGATAATCTACATTAAGAAATGGTGTCCCTATGATTAATAGCAGTCTTGCAGGCCACAAACATAGCCATTAGATTTCACATTTTATCTGATAAATACATTTCAGGCGAGTAACTTTGGAGGACAGGGAAAGTGTGCCACAACTGTAAAACGTAAAAGTCCACTTAGTTATTAAATCCACTAAGAATCACCACTGCCTTCTGCTACTGCATAAAAGCAATTTGGAGAACAGGCCCAGGTTCTCAGCCTAAAAAACAAGCAGCTGAAAGGGTAGAAAAAGCAGAGAAAACCCAGTCCTTAGCCTGCCTAGCTGTGCATCATCCAGCCCCGCCTGGCACCAAAGCCTTGGATCATCAGGTACTCGAGAGAAGCCGCCTCAGACCTCCCCAGCCCTCCCTCAGACCATGGTCACATTACACATACCGGACTTTCATGCCTAGCAATTCCCTCCATGAAAGCACAGGCATTATCTGTACTGACATAAAGGTTTGAGTCCAGTTGAGGACCCTAATAAGCATCACCTGCAACTATATCACCTGCAGCAAGTTCCAAAAATGTAATTACTTAGAGAAAAAAAGGGGCTGGATTTTAGCAGTTATGAAGTAGTCATCACCACATAGTGTAAGATTTGGTAGACAAAGTGTGGAATTTACCTTTGTATCAGCCATTATTTTATACATTTGAATGATTTCCTGTTGCCACCCAACCTTGTGCCAATTTTTGTGCTCAGATTCAGTGTGCAGAAGGCACCATCACCTTGAACTGTGTACCTTTACCCTCAGAAGCTCTTTAAAAATCCATCTCTCTTCCAAGGGAGAGTATGTAATAGCTACAACCGTACCAGGAACAGAGGTTCTGCATTCACCTCGAACTCCTGAATCCCTCTGCCTGATCCAAATGACTGCAAGAGTCCAGTACCTGTCTCAAGCCCTTTGACAATACTTTGTAAAGCACAATGAAGCTGCAGCATATGGGAAAAAAAAAAAGCTGTAAATCAAACCTTAGCCTTGATTTCCATCAAGTCAAGCAACAGGAGATGGATGCAGAGTTAAATTAATATCACCTGCAGAGATGTGAGCAAACATTTATTAGATACACTCTCCTCCACAGCCTCACTCTGCCATCCCGTAAAAAGCAGAACAACAAGGAATTATGACTATCTGTGACTGCACATCTGTCTTATCTGCTAGTGATTCTCACACATGCCTGCAAAAGAGATCAAAGCTGGACCCTAAAACGTTTCAAATTAACTATATTGCACAAGGCAGAACCTGCTATTTTATCTCCTATGTGCAGGGGAATTAATACACAACACTGACATCCACAAAACCCATGCTGAGAACTGTGAGGCACATTTCAAATCCAAGTAACTCTGCGTATGAAGAAGTGTCTGCGATATAACCCTGAAATACACAAGTTTTCTTCCAACTTGCTAGCTTGCATATGGGTAGTTGAGATACAAAAACCCAAAGCACGTGCCTGTGTTAGTAGGGATTACTGCAAGGCAGATTACATCCGTGTAAAACAAAAGCATCAGACTAATTTTACACAGTTCAGCATTCTGCTAGAGAAAAAAATGGCTAACAGGACAATGCAACTCATCTGACAGAGAAAACTCATCACACAAACTCATAGCCACTAAAGCAAGGATGTGACTTAAACCGAAATGCACTGGATTTAAACAACTATATCTTCCCGCCTTGGAGCAAGAGAGCCCAATCATGATAAATTACTTTCATAAATGCAGATCACCCTGCTCTTTCATATCAAGTCTTCAGCATTTATTTTCGTTATAGTAAATAACTGCACCTACGGGATCATTTTACAATTCAAGTGTTTGCATAAACCTGTTGCAAGTCAATGCGCTCATTCCCCAGGAGATTCACCACCAAGACAAAGTCATTCTTTCTCCCAGCTAATGATACAGATAGCCATCAGTTCAGGCTCCCTCATAAAATATTTACACAGCTATATGCTGCCATCACTCTGGAAACGCGATTCAAGAGAGCGGAGGATTTACACTGAAGTCGCCGCTGCGGGCCCTTTCTCCATTACCTGCTCTGGTTACAGGAGCATGAAACCAAAGGCAGGTTGCAGGTAGGCAGATCAGCCATGCAGGACAGGAACAGAGGGGCCCGTAATGAGAACTGCATCGTTTAAGGTTTCCAAATTAAACCAAAAACCTGGGACATGACCACGGCAGCGCAGTTCAGTGGCATCAGCGACAAAGAAAGGCTGATCCAGAGTTTTAGGGCCTCCTGTCTCATCAGCTGACAATAGCTCGTATCCAAAAGGGCCAGGACACTTCCCTGCCCGGTAACAGTGTGCTTCCAGTCCCACACCGACACGTGCACTCTCAGGACCTAACCAGTTGCAGAGGCAAGAGGGCAGCACTCAGCTGTCACAGCAGAACAACTGTCTGCCATCTCCTCCGAGGAGAAGGCAGCAGACCAAAAACTGCAGCTTACAACTCCAAATGAGCATGTGTGCTCAGACAGCAGCTGTCCCTCCGAGCAGAGGGGCTACTTAGGTCACGGCCACAACAACCTGACCTACACAGAGTTACGTGCACTTCTGTAGTAACTTGTATGTACAACATACAGGCCTCTCACCGCTCAAGCAGAGCGACGAGAAAGCTAAGGAGAAAGTGGTTAATTGTTTGAATCATGCATCAGCCAAAGTCATAGACAGCAATCAATTTTCACGGCCTATGTCTAAAACTGACCACATTGACTTCAACCATGCTCACTACCAGAAGAATGAGCATGAGAAGCTAAGAGCAGGAAGTATTTTATTGCTTTGCTCACTTTTTGTTCATAAACTGGACTATGATACGTGGTTTGCCCGGTTTACACTACTCTTTGATCATGGTGTCGCCATATTTTGTCAGTCAGTGAAAACTCAATGCCTAGTTTTTCATAAAACTGCTGGACACCACCACCTCCCTTCCCTGCTCTAAACCATCTCCCCGGGCTTGCTGCTACAGAAAACACAGTTCCCTTTTTGTCAGTGACCTCTAGCGGTGAGCACGTGCAGGAGAGGAGGGAGAGGACCACTTCACAGCACAGTTACACAGGGAGAAAGACTGATCCACAAAAGAAAGCCAAACGGTTCATCCATCCTTCTCTTGCAAGCTGCAGCGCACAAGGCGATACAAGCTCAGGGACGGGAGTACGCACACAGTGGCTCGCCTTGCCCCCAGGTCAGGGGGGCCGCTCTCCTACTGTCAGTGTTACAAGCAGCAGGGAAGCGTTTTGCCTCCTTCCCCTCCCTAAAGTGAGGGACGCAGATCCCCACACTCCCCTTGTAACCCCCTTCCCTCCTAAGCACGCAGCCTCCCGTGATCCAAGCCCTGCCTTGCCGTGGCCCAGCGGTGTCACCTTGGCTCCAACTGCTGAGGAGATTGTTAAGTTTCGGGAAAGAGCTGCGAGAAGTCCACACCGTAGAGGCATGCAAAATAAGGAAGGTGTAATTACAGAGTTAGGTTTGTTGAGGGGGATGGAGAGCAGCTCAAGGGTTCACGAGGAAAGGCATCACCATAGAAAGATCGTTAAGGAGGAAAAACAGTCAGGAGGCAACACTGTACATCACAGGTCCATCCCAGAGCAAACTTCCCCCCCCCCCGACTGCCAGCTGTGCAGCCAACAAATAGCGTGGGGAGCACACTATGGCCTAGCCTAGTGGCTATTTATATCCTCGGTCCTTTTTGTGCACTAACCAAATAAATGAGTTTGATGTATCTTGTTCGCAGACTCTCTGAACACAGAAGAAACATGAATGGAAACGCACAGATAGACAGCAACACCCTGAAACGAAGCAGGAATCATGGTTGGCTTTGACAGGCTCCGCACAGGTCAGATCAAGCTCCCTGGCTTGCTCTGCGAGCGCAGCACCTCATCTTAGGGCAACAGCGAGCAAGGCACAGAAGCTCTTGCAGCAGTGTGTTACCACTCCACCAGCAGCTCTGCTCCCCATCACAACACACTAGCACAACACGTGCCTGCATTTCAGCCGACGTACCCACGGGCAGATACAGTAACAGCATTTGTGTTTAGACGCTGGACTGCGAGTCACCGTGGTGGAAACGTACATTCAGATCCAGATGTTGGCTGTAGAAGTCATTTCTCTCAAATGGAAAATAACAGGTTACCACTGCAGCATTTGCTCAGCGAACAAGTCACAGTTAGCCGGTAACTATATCCAACACACCTCCAAGGATGCTCCTTTTAGGGACAGGTTCTCCAATAGCTCATATTTTGCTCTCCCCCTAACTAGACCTTATAGATTTGCATCCAGCAGGCAATATTTTAATCAATTCAACAGATCAGTGGCAAAGACCTGACAGTTCTACACTCGCTGTAACAGCGGTACCTTTGCTTTCTTCATGTGGCTCATGATATTGCCGAGATCTTCAACATCGATGACAGAATTTGTGCCTCCAGCTTCCTCAGCATCAACCACCTCCTCCTCGCTACTGGTTTCAAACAACTCCTCTGCCTGTGTAAGAGATCAGAGGAAAAAAAAAAAATTAGGAATGTTTCAGAATGTTAAACATAAGATCTTCATCTATGCTAACCAGTGAAATCAGCTCTCACAATCAGTAAAGACTGGTAGACTATGCTTTGTTTTTCATTAATAACCTGCATAATGTATATGAGATGCATTTAAACTTGGGGCTCTTATTGGTGTGTATTGTTAAGAGTTCAGTAGCACACAGACCGCCTGAAACTCAGTCCAGATATCCTGCCTCCAGATTGCTCTGTTTTCCTCATGTGCCTATCCGACCACATGAGAAGCGATACAGAGGAGTCCAGCTCCCGCTGCACACTACGATGATCTGGAAGCCTAAACCCCTTTAACTCCTCCAAGTGCCCCTGCCTGAGGGAATGGGGAGTGAGAGAACCGCTTTCCAAGACAAACTCTTCACAGAGCAGAAAAGTTGTCTCCCTTACACAGCCAAGGTACAGAACAGCAGCATTGGTGTAATGGCAAGATTTATTCCTCTTGTTTCTGCAGCAGCCAACACACTCAAACCCTCTCAGCCAGAAGAGCCCCTATTTTCCTACAAAATTCAACATGGCCACAGCAATCATTTCCAACCCACAATAAATGGCTTGTGGGGAGGATTAAAGTGCCATAGCAGCTCCGAGTCTCGCGCTGCAGAGCAAGAGGGAGGATTTCTTATTCAAAACCTGCAATCAACAAACACTCCAGAAGACACACAAATGATCACAGGCAGACACATGCAGAGGAAATACAGGACTTGCTCAGATAACACTGCCCCAACTGCCTTTAGAAAACCCTGGGGATGCACCTAAGCTTCAACCAGTTGAAGTAGAAGCAGGTTAATTGCTCACGGGGAACCAAATGCTTCGCTTGGCCATGAGACAAAGCAAAGACTCTGATGAGAACCCAGACTGGCTCCCAGGAGCATCTGTCACAACATATACCTCCCCCTAGTCAAGGGGAAGACTCCCTCATCATATAGATGCCACCTAGCCTAGGTCCACCACTGATGTTTCGGTCATTCTTTTTGGAAGACTCATTCTGCCTGTTATCCACCATGGGATCTCATCCCTCTTGCCCCTCTGCTCCACAACAAAGTAGTATCAAGCTCCCACAGCGCCCCTCGGGGCTGTAGGAAGGAGAGAAGTCAAACAGTGCTCCAAGGGGCACTAAACCAGAAATAAGGCCGCGTGGATTTTGGCTCTACCTCAGTATTCTCGTATTCTGATGCCTCACGTTCATGATCCGAGCTCTCCTTGCTCTGCTTCTCCGGAGATTTGCACTTCCCTTTCTTACACTTCCCACTGCAGGGCTTCTTTTCCCCTCTGCAGAGCGCCTGGAGCCGACTGAGGAACTTGGCTTTCCAGGCTTCAAAGTCAGCCTCAATGCTGCCATGCTTGCTCTGGGCCACATTGCAGTCCCCCTCAGCACGAGTCATGATACGGCTGGCACTGAGCATCCACAGCCACCTGTCAATATTTCTTCCAACCTAGGAGAGGATGAAAGTTAGAGGGAAATTAAATGAGGCCCAAGTTAAACAAAGCAGGCAATTAAGAAAGCAAGGACCAAGCCTGTAAAAAGAGCTAGTGAGCTGCCCATTTCACATGGCCCCAGCTACACAAACGTAACAACCCGGTGACAAGTCAGGCCATTTTTCTGACTGAGATGAAACTTATTACCAGGCTAAGATATCGTCATATTTTACATCAGGAAATAAAGCTAACATCCACGCAATACAGCCAAGTACCGAAGACAGAGAAAAGCACTCTAAACTAAAAGGCAACAAGTGGGAGGGTTTACGGTACTCTGCCCTCACGCACTGATATAAAGCTTTCAAAGCTGGGTAATTAGCTCAGTAAGGATTTACCAAATGTATTACCATACCTCCCAGATTAATGCAGTGCTTATAGGACTCCTTTCCCATTTAAAAGGGCAGCACAGTTGCTTCAAAGCTGCATTGCCTGCGCCCTAAACCCAGCCCCTAATCAAGTCCGCACAACAGCTGCAATTCTCACACAAACTACCAGTATCGTTCAGTTTTGTAGCATTTAAGAAAGCTGAGCCTTTCAGAGGAGCAGAAATCAAAGAAAGGTGCACAGGAGATCCTTACTGTGTTGTAATGATCAACGTAAACTGAGTCTCCCAAGCCAAACACAGCATATCTCAGGCCTTTCAGATATGTTTTCCCGAAGCGGAAGTCATTCGCAGCCTCTTCTAACCACTTGCAGAACCACGCTGCACTCTCGGTTGGCTGTCCATCTGTGTATGTAGCTACCAAGAACACACAAACGTTCTTGCTGGTTGTCTAATAATATAAAAGAGAACAGAATAGAACAGATCACACATTTTTCAGAACACTTCACATCAGGAAGAGAGCTGTAAGACATGGACAGCTGCAAGAAGACAAAAGACAAGATTTTTGCGAAGTGGGTTAAGAACCTTTGGTGTGGGATGCTGCAGGTGATCATCCCAGCGGTGGTGAATGGCCATCCTCCCTGCAAAGCCATCTTAAACTGGCCAAGGGAGAGCAAGCTCTCTTCCCCCTACCTACGAGAGACACAGTAGTAAACCAGAACTGGACACCTACCTCCCCTACCTAATCAACAGCTTCCTGAACACACTTGCAGCGATAAAGTTTCCGTGGATTCTAAAGGCAACTATCAATATTTACAGAAGAAAAAAAAAAAATTCATCAAGGATTACTCAATATAAATACGCCTCCCAGGAAGTTTCTAAGTCTTTGAAGGCTGCAGGAGTATCACTATCTGCTTGTTCTGGTTTCAAACCCTTCCCCAGCTGTACATTGTCAGAGACAGAACAGGGGGACCTGGTGCGGCCACTCTCACATTAACTCCCACCTGAGTTACAGAACTAGCTCATACAAAACCACCGTCAGTATCAAAATATTCTGCACGATCCTTTCCTAGTAATTGTCAAAACTCAGGTATTTTCTGCTGAGGGTTGACGGGCTATACTTGCTTATGTAGAAGGGAAGCAATTTTCAACACACAACTTTGGGGAATTCCAGGATAACAAGAGAGAAATACAAGAAAGAAAGAAAAGAGCCTTCACAAACCCAGGAAAAGCTTGTTTTTATTATTCATATTTATCAGGTACCCACCTCCTCTGCTAAACAGTCATCTGGATCATAATCTCCCATGCCAACGACTTCCACAGGCAAATTAAGGGAAATAACTGCCTTGGCCAGACCTTCGGCAAATCTCTGAAAAAAAGAAATGTAGAAAGTTATCAGTTACTTCAACCCAACTATCGCAAGGGTCAAACAAGCCCTGCTATAGCCAACAGTCACAACATGTCTCCCAGCACAGGAAGAACAATGACACAAGAGAACCGGACACTGGACATTAATTCCTCACATTTAAAAACGTGAAGTACACTGGCTGAAAGAAGAGGGTGATGTGAATTTTAATAACTAATGATTTTACATGCACACACACAAATTAAATTTCTTTGAGAAAGAAAGCACCTAAACCAGCAGTTCCCTCTAGCAAGACCTGCTAGCAAATTAAGAGTATATTGTAAGAGTAGCTTTTAAGTTTCATAATCAATGTCTCTACTGTATGCCCCATTTAAATGAAGGGAGTAATTGTTATTTTCATATAATTTTCACTTGTCTTTCACACTGGGCAGTGACTTCTAACGAACGTTCTGATGAACTTTCAGATGTTTACACAATGCAGAGTTTCTAAGGTGAGCAACATACTTGAGTCTCAACAATATTTCAAATCAACCTTAAGCATGTGAAAAAAAGTAACTTAATACCTTTGCTGTGCCAGTCTGAGACCCATAGAAAATCTTTACCCCAGCAACATAGACCTCCTTCGCCTGCAGGGTGGCAGATGTATTTAGTAGTTTGTCTTCTATTCCTTCAGAAGGAGGTGGTTTCCCATTGGATTTTTCACCCTAAGAAACAAGCACCGTGTTTCATTCAATCCCTTTGCAAAGTGATGTTAACCCCATTTTCCCAAAAGCATTTAAAATACAAGTCCCATGACCAGACTCTCAGCACTACACAAATCCAAGTCAAAGCATTTTAGCTTCTCACACCTAGAGAAACACGGGAGTAACTATTTCTCTGGACTGGGCCATGCTACAGTAAACTCACACACCAGGGAGATAACAGGATCCAGCTGAACCCGAGAACCTCCCAACTCGTGCAGCAGAACTTCACTCACCTGCATGAGGAGGCTTTAACTTCCTGCATGGCCTAATCCCTAATCCTAAAACCAGTCCGACCCTGTCATTAACATCACTGGAAATGTGAACCTGAAAACACTGGGCAGGAGCAGAGTGATTTACTTAGAGCAACAGAGCAACCCAGGCCGACATTCTCTCAGTAACAAAGTGAGAAGTGTTCAGCTGAGATCTGCTCTAACATCAGAGCAATGAGGGCGTTGAGTTACCCACAAATATAAGACAATGCAGACTGAGGCTTATAACCATCAGATGAACTAAACTACATTTGGGAGTTGCAAACCTAGGCGGGCTCACAGCGAAGCAGCACATCTCACCGCACCAGTGGGCACCTTTACCTGGCAACTACTCACTTCCACACACAGAGTTTTGGGGTCTTCTCAGAGAAAAGCGCTTATGTGTTCAGTTACCTTCTTTTTGGTTTTGGTGGTGGTGAACCAAATGATGATCCAGATGCTGATGCCAAAAGCAACAGCACAATAGATGTAAAATCTGCGCAGCCATAAGGACACGATGCAAGTATAGCAGCAGTTCCATATATCCATTGAGACATCTAAATCTAGATTAAACCACAGATTTAGAAAGAGCAGATTCCTACAGTATGAATTCAGAATGACCACACAAAAAATAATCACACAGTCTCCACAGTCTCATGGCATTAGTTATTCCCCAAGCTCTGCAGAAAACAGCTTTTGGCTAAAGACAAGATGCTACAATTGAATCAAGGAGCTTTCAGCTCCTCAGAGGTGCGTCAGCTGAGGTTCGCCTGTGTATCCAAGCTAACGCTTTAGACTGTCATATGGCAACTCTGGGTTTTTTCTTAAGATAGGGCAGGTTCTGTTACAAAGAAAGGCAGAGAATACTTGTGCTGTGCAAGTGTCTGAAAGTACAAAGTCCTTGTGAAACATCCACTGTACTGGCCTTCGTTTCCCATAGACCCAACACGTGCAGATCTCTGGAGCCTGAAAGCTCCATTTCAAGGAGGAGATCACCTCCACAGAGCTTGCTGCTGAACAAAACCCTTGCCTGTATGCCCTGGACGCCACACTGATTACAACAGCTTCGACCCAGAGTTTCAAGGCCAGACTGAAACCTGATTCAGTTGAAAATACTTTTTCAGAATTCTATCAGGTGAGCGAGGTTCGATTCAGAACAACTGGGATTTTTCAAGTTGGTTCAGAACATTCAGGGTACGTAATGTTGTGGCCAGGAGCACACTTGTGCGGTGCCTGTGATTACCTATTTCATACGAAACATTCAGGAGCTTAAATAAGGCTTGTTTGTGACACTTATTGACCGAGAAACACAGCTGACACCCTCCTACTGTTATCTGCAGGCCTCTCGGATCTTGTTTTTGCAGACATCAGACAAAAGCACAGAAACTGAGTATTTCCAAGAGGCTGGAAACTTCGTTATCTCACTTTTCCCCTGGGCTGTTACTTACAGTACCAGATCAAAAGCTTGAGGGGATGCCCTTCACCCCTCCACCCGCAACACTGAACCCCCCAAAAGAATAAGAGCTGAGAGCGCTTGCCCTTGTGTCAGCAGCACCAGTGCCGCCAGCCCACACAAGCAGCAAACCCCTCAAGGGGAGCTTCAGAAACCCGCAGCAGCCCAGGCACCCCACTCCTCCTCACCCCCTGTACCTCCCCCCTGCAATTACCCCATGGCACCCCCCCATGCCTGACCCCCGTCCCTCACCCCTGTGGCCACCCCAGCACCTGCCCCTCTGCACCCATTTCATTCCTCCTTTGTCCTCACCCATGTAACTACCCCTCTGTACAAGCTCCTCACACAGGCCTCCCGTTCCCCCCTGCCCCCCCCAGGAACCACCTCACAGCTATTATGCTCATCCCCCCTCACTGTTATTACCCCCCACAG